CGCAGATATTTTCCTTGTGTGTTTGGTGTTCTTCATTCTCCTTTGCTCCAGGTGGGTTGGTACCAATTGATGCATCTTAGATGGCCGCTTGCAAGCTTTTAAGACCCCAGATGCCACTTACCAAAGTGAGATGCAGAACATTTTCTTAATAAACGTTGTTATGCCAATTTGACCTAGATGTCCCCTGAAACCATGGTCACCAGACCCCTGCCCTGCTACTCTGTCCCTCGAAGTGTTTGGTTGTGTTCAGGAAACTTCTTAGCTGTTGGTCTAGTCCAGTTGTACTGACTTCCCCTGTAGTGTGTGTTGTCCTTCCCTTCACCTAAGATAATTCTTTTCTCCTGTCTAGTTAGTGAATTCTCCCCTTCCTTCCTCCCCACCCTCATAACCATCAAAGAATTCTTCTGCGTTTAAACCTTTTCTTGAATTCTTATAATAGTGGTCTCATACAATATTTGTCCTTTTACGACTGACTAATTTAACTCAGCGTAACGCCTTCCAGATTCATCCATGTTGTGAGATGTTTTGCAGATTCATAATTGTTCTTTATTATTGCATAGTATTCCATTGTGTGTATGGCCCATAATTTGTTTATCCGTTTGTTGATGTGCACTTAGGTTGTTTCCATCTTTTTGCTATTGTGAACAGTGCTGCAGTGAACATGGGTGTGCATATATCTATTCATGTGATGCTGTCATTTCTCTAAGATATATTCCAAGGAGTGGGATTACTGAATCGTATGGTACTTCTATTTCTAGCTTTTTAAGGAAGCGCCAAATGGATTTCCAAAGTGGTTGTACCATTTTACATTCCCACCAGTGGTGTATAAGTGTTCTCTTCACAACCTCTCCAACATTTATTAGTTCGTGTTTTTTGGATTACTGCTATCCTTGTTGGGATGACATGTAAGAGCACGGACCCTTAAGCCAGACTTCCTGGGTTCAAATTTGGCTGTACCCACTTGCTGATTCTGACCTCGGATAACTTCTTTGTCAGTTTTTCGTCTGTGAAATAGAAATGGTAATCATTGTTGTTAGGTGCCGTTGAGGTGGTTCTGTCTCATAGCGACCCCATGTACAACAGAATGAAGCACTGCCCAGTCCTGTGCCATCCTCACAGTTACTGCTATGTTTGAGCCCATTGTTTCGGCCACTGTCTCAATCTGTCTTGTTGAGGGTCTTCCTCTTTTTTGCTGACCCTTTACTTTACCAAGCACGATGTCCTTCTCCAGGAACTGGTACCTCCTGATAACATGTCCAAAATACATGAGACAAAAGTCCTCGCTTCTAAGGAACATTCTGGCTGTATTTCTTCCAAGACAGATTTGTTCGCTGTTGGCAATCCATGGTATAGTCAATATTCTTCTCCAACACCACAATTCAAAGGTGTCGATTCTTCTTTGGTCTTCCTTATTCATTGTCCAGCTTTTGCATGCATATGAGGCAAGTGAAAATACTATAGCTTGGGTCAGGTGAACTTTAGTCCTCAGAGGGACATCTTTGCTTTTTAACACTTTAAAGAGGTTTTTTGCAGCAGATTTGCCAAATGGTAATCATAATTTATGATTTTAAATAATTTATGAGATTAAACAAATTAATATATGCAAAGCACTTAGAACATAGTGTTTACAGTTGTGACGATTATTATATTGTAGTAAGCCTGTTAAGAGGTGAGGGTGGCCTGAACTCAGGCAAAGTAAGTGAGGAAAATAGAGAGAAACGTCCAGATGCAGGAACTACAAAGGTGATAAGAATTGATGGGAATTAGTGATTGACTGGATGTCAGGAGAGGAGATAAAAGACAGCAAGAAGTTGGGGATGATGTGCAGGTTTTGGACCTGATCAATTGAGTGAATGGTGGTTTCAGTCTCTGAGACAGGGCTGACAGTCAGCCCCGCAGGTTGGGATGTGAAGTAGATGATAAGTTCAGTTGTGGGTATGTTAAATTTAGATACCAGAGACATGTAAGTACAAGTGTTCAGAAGACAGTTGATTGTAAGGCCTGGAGATCAGAATTGTCATGTGAGTTGTAGAATGGATGTAGGAGGTATCAGTCTTAACTGGTCACTAAACTTGGAAGAGAATGAGACAACCTCAGATGAGGGTGGAATGACAAGAAGGCTTCTAACAGAATCCTAAGGAACACCAACAGTTAAAGATTGGACAGAGAATCCTGAAGTCACCAGAAAAGATCAAAACAAGTTTTGAAGGAAGATAAGCATGAAGTTTGCATCCATTAAAAATTCTCTTATATATGTGCTTATATATGTTAATAAACGTGTATAACATCTCTAGAAGAATTCACAAAAAACTGGTAGCTGTGGTTGTCCCTACAGAAGAGAAGGCAGTAAAACTTGCTTTTCATTATATACCCTTTTGGATCCTTTGAATTTGTGTCTTATGCTTATATTCCTAAATAAATAGATATGTTTTAAAATTATTTCTAGAACTCTCTAAAATCAGTCCTTTAGCCAATACTTAGCAAAACTTCAACTAAATTAAAACCTGAATCAACTGGCTTTTCTGTAGAGATTTTCATCTCTGAATAAATGACAGCAACTGGTTTTTTTTGGTTTAGATAACAAGCTACATGACAACATCACACCTGTAACCTTTTATATTCTTTGTAAAACAAAGTTTTTAACCTTGCTTTTAGGGATAGTTCTAACACTGTGGAAACAATTTGGTCCGATGTTGCTAATTCTATTATTAAGCTGTTAAGGAACCGTGTAGTCTTCGTGTGCAGTGAAGTGGTAGACCAGTTAGCCCGTTCTGCAGTTGCTCTGGTTCACCTTGCCTCTTACCCAGCTATGCACACTCCATAATCCCCTCATCTAATTATAGCGAGTGGCTTTCCCTTTAAGCCAGTGGTTCTTAAGCTTGGAAGCATATTCAGATCACCTGGGGAGCTTTTAAAAATCCGGTTGCCCAGACCAGTTAGATCAAAATTTCTGAGGGTGGGGCACAGACATCAGTATTTTTTTAAGCCACCAAGGTGATATTAATGTTGAGAAACTCTGCTCTGTGCGAATAATGGTACTGGTTTAGCCAAACACTTCCCATTTAATATCAGAAGTAACAGCACTCAGGATTTCTGACTGAAAGGTCTGCATGGTGATGAGTTAGGGTCCAGATGGAAGAGGGAGGCACCCCTTACCAAATACCCTCACGCAGAATCTGTGTTTACTTGTGCCACCTCTGGAATGGGGCAGACGAGGTGTATCAGTTTGCTAGGGCTGCCAGAACAAGGTACCACAAACTGGGTGGCTTATACACCAGATGTTTATCCTCCTGCAGTTCTGGAGGCTAGAAGTCTGAATTCAAGGGCTCAGCAGGGCTATGCTGTCTGAGTTCTCTAGTGCTGTTGTCACAAAAAAAATACCACAAAGTGGGGGCTTTAAAGAATAGAAATGTCCTTCCTCACAGCTCTGGAGGCTAGAAGTCCAAATCAGGACATCCACTCTTGGGGAGGTCCCTCCTTGTTGGTAGCCCTGGGTATTCCTTAGCTTGTAGATGGTTTCTCACCTGGTCTCCTCCCCCAGTGTGTGTGTCTCTCTGTGTCTGTACTCCCCTTTGTAAGACACCATTCAGAAGTGACCACTGGGTTTGTTATTGTTATTGTCAGTTGCTGTTAAGTTGGCTCCGATTCGTGGCAACCTTATATATAACAGAATGAAACATTACCTGGTCCTGCTCCAAGTTATCTGTCAGGTTTTCTTTGGCTGGTTTTTGGAAGTAGATTGCCAGGTCTTTCTTCCTAGTCTGTCTTATACTCTGGAAGCTCTGCTGAAACCTGTCCACCATGGGTGACCCTGCCTACATTTGAAATATCAGTGGTATAGCTTCCAGAATCATAGCACACGCAAGCCACCGCAGTACCACAAACTGACAGACAGGTTAGGTTTAGGGTTAGGATCCACCCTTCTCTTGTTTGGCCTCATTAACATAACAGAAGAAAAGCCCCTCCTCCCAAATAGGGACATATTCGCAGGCACAGGGGTTAGAATGTCACCATATTTTTTTTGGTGGGGAGGGACACAATTCAATCCATAACACATGCTCTCTGTGAAGGCTGTAGTGGAAGATCGTTCTGTGTCTCTTCTTGTTCCTGGCAGCCCCAAGTGTTCCTTGGCCCCATTCTCTGTCTCTGTCTTCACTTGGCCATCTTCCCTCGGTGTCTGTCTCTCTGTGTCTCTTCTCTTCTTACAAGGACACCAGTCATATTGGATTAGGGCCCACCCTTCTCCTCTGTGACCTCCTGTTAACTAATTACATCTGCAAAGACACTATTGCCAAGTAAGTCACATTCACAGGTACCAAGTCTTAGGAATTGAACATGTTTTTGGGGGATACATATTCAACCCATAACAGTAGGTATTGGGTATGGTCGAAAAGACGGAGCTGATCTAGTTACAGTTAGTTTTTAGGTTCTTTTTTATAGTTCTGAATTCAGCTAAACTCTCACTGAGTAAAAAATACTGAATTGGGACCATTGAGTGCACATCTCCACCTTGTTCCTCTGTCATTTGAGGCGTGGAGCCAGCCTACCGACATCTAATACCACTGCCGCCATATTGCTGTATCATTGACAGAAAGTTATATTTATCATACACAAGATGACTGGGAAAAACACGCACTGTACAACATGACCTATTTTTAAGTGTCCATTTTAATCAAAGATCCTAGAACCTCACTACTTCTAACCCTTAACAATTTGCTTTATTAACAAATCATTGTTAAAGAGTTAGATTTATAAGGGGAATAAGTAAAAAATGTGTCCTTTCATTTATTTTGTAGTGGTGAGGTGAGGAAATAGCCTATTTCTTAGTATTGCTAATAGAAAGTCCTGATTAATGGCCTGGTTCTGTTTTGGGTTTTAAACCATTTTATGATTACCTCAGCCTCTTTTTTTTTTTTTTAACATAAAAATTGGTATCATAAACTCTGCTGTGGTGGTTTGCTCTCATGTACTCATTGTATATCCCCCTCCCTTTCATATAGGAAGACAGAGATGTCAATAACCCCATGCCTAACCGAGGAGGCAATGGATTAGCTCCCGGGGATGACAGATTCAGACCTGTGGTACCATGGCCTCATGTTGAAGGAGTAGAAGTGGACTTAGAGTCTATTAGAAGAAAAAACAAGGCCAAAAATGAACAAGAGCACCGTGCTGGTGGAGATTCCCAGAAAGACATAATGCAGAGGCAGTATCTCACATTTAAGCCTCAGACATTCACCTACCATGATCCTGTGCTACGCCCCGGGATCCTCGGAAACTTTGAACCCAAAGAACCTGAGCCTCACGGAGTGGTTGGTGGCCCTGGAGAGAAAGCCAAGCCGTTGGTTTTGGGACCAGAATTCAAACCTGCTGTTCAAGCCAGCATTAAAGAGTTTGGATTTAACATGGTGGCAAGTGACATGATCTCACTGGACCGCAGCGTCAGTGACTTGCGTCAAGAAGAGTAAGCACACACCCTCTCCTTTCTAAAATCGTGGCAACTATTGTTTTGATAGATATTTATATTTAGTTACACATTGTTAGAATGGAGAAAATATTCATGCCTTTATTTCAAGGAAATAAGAGGATCTATGGTCAGCAAACAGGTCAGAAGGGGAAGGTCCCTCCTTTTCTGCCATCATAGTATGGGCACCACATATAGAAGCCTTGGGTCTTCTATGTCAGTACTACTCAAAACATGGTCCCCAGGCTGGGCCGATCTGTGCAGTGTTTGTTACCAAATGAAAATGAGCTTGAACCAGAATGTGAATCAATCAGCAACACCATTAAACACTTAGTTCAGCTGACAAGCTATTTAATAGCAAGGCTTTCTTGATGTGTTGAGTTTCATTCTGGAGCAAGCTTCTTATTTTCTTGTGGAACAATAACAAATAGCAACACTGCTCTAGATGTCTCTTATAGAATTAACTAGGTATTTGTGTTTTCTTTATTCTTTTCCCCTCAATACCAAAACTAGAAATTCAGACTCTTCAGTGTATGTGAAAGGAGCACTCAACCAGGTAAAACCCTGGCCTAAACCTTCAAATTCCTTTCATATAGTTTTATTTTAATATGAAGGATTTCCAGCTCTTAACTTTTGATAGATGGTGATTATTGAATGAACGCAGAGTTTTTCTCTTTCTTTTTATTCAGTAACCAGTTCTACTACTACAGGATCTAAAGAGCTTACATTAATCTGAATGCAAATTTAATTCACTAAATTACTAGAAAACTCTAAATGTATTCCTGATGATGCATTATCAGCATAATCCTCATTTTAAAAGGTTAACACAGCTCACACGCACACCAGCATGCTTTCTGACCGCTGAGTCAAATTCCATGCCTAATATGGCGCCACTAATAGGTTTTTGGCATTCATGTAGTTATTGGTAAAGGTGAGAGGAGATGAATGAAATATGCTGAGAAAGTAGGAGTGGAAATACAGAACCATGACGGTGAGAGGCATAACCTCCTGTTACACAGAGAAGGGAGAGAGTGTCTCAAGGGGCTGCAGAGGAAGAATCTTGGTGCATTTTATTCCTAATCGAAGTAGAGACTTGCCTAGTCATAAGGTTGCCAGATTTAGCAAGAAAAATACAGGATGCTTAGTTAAATTCGAAATTCAGATAAGCACCAAGATAAATTTTAATATAAGTATGTCCTAAGTATTGCATGGGGTATACTTATACTAAAAAAAAAGGAAAGAAAGAAAAGAAAAAAGAAGTTTTAGAATAAATACGTCCCATATGTTGCATGGGGTATACTTTAAAAAAAAAAAAAGGAAATTTTAGCATAAGTATGTCCCATATATTGCACAGAGGTATACTTAAAAACAAACAAAACCTGTTTGTTGCTTATCTGAAATTCACGTTTAACCAAATGTCCTGTATTTTATCTGACAACCCTCCTAGCCAAGGGGTGAGGGTGGCTGTTATGGTTAGCACTGCCTTGTGAGTATCCTTTGTAATCTGTAACAGAATCTGTAGTGCTTCATCAGGAGTGTGTACCAGGCATATTTCCCAGTCATCTTACATATAGTACGCGGTCATCCTACTGATCTCTGTTACAAAAGGTGCTTTGAGAAGCTGTTGGTGGCATTCTTATCACCATAATGGGGGAGAAGGGAAGGGAAAGGGAGAGTCTAACATTTATGGACTTCCTACACATGCCAGGACTTGGTATAAGTTATCTTAGTTAATTGTCAGCAACCAAACTGAGAGTTATTGCCTATGTGTGTAAAGTCTGGGGCTCACAGAGTTTTGATGTATTTGCATTTACGCAGCTAAATGGCAGAGCTGCAATTCAGCTCTAGGTGGTTTGGCTTGAAAGCCGCTTCTCTTTCCACCACACCACAGCTCAAGGTATGTCTTCCAGGATAATACGCCTGCAGCGCACCTGTTACAATCAGAACGTGAGCTTAGCAGTGTGGAAAGATCCTGAACAGTTAGCATGTGAACTGTTTATAGAAGTTTGTCACTTAAAACTCCAGTGTAAATCTAGCTAGCTTTTTGACATAAGAAATATGCTAAGAACTGTAAAAAGAAAATCCAGTGACATGCAAGGTACAGAGCAGTGAACAGGTTTTAGAGTCATCCTCTGTGCTTCCCTCTTCTTCACGCCTCATGGCCAGTCTACCAGCAAGGCCTTTGGTTTCCACCACTAAAGTGTATCTCCCATCAGTCCATTTCTTTCATCTGCACTGCCACCACCGAGTCCAAACGGCTGTCCTCATCTCTGTCGGAATCCTGCAAGAGCCTCCCTGCTGGTCTCTGCATTTCTACTCTTGCCTCCTACCTGCTGTTACTCACAGAAGTCAGTGTGATCTTTTAAAAACACAGATCTAGCCTCTCTAAAGCCATTCTGTGCCTTCCCATTGCACATTAAACAAAGCTCAGACCGCCTGCCTGCAGTGGTCTCCATGCTCTGACGCTTCCCCGCCTGGCCAGCCTCCTCTTGCTGCAGTACCCGCGTCCTCTGGGTTCCTGTGCACGTGCCCGCTGTGCCTTCTTCTTGGGGCTGGCTCCTTCCCATCCTTTAGGTCTCAGCTGGACCTCTGTAAGCATGCTGTCTAATTTGGTAATGCCGCGCTTCGCTATTCCTCATTTCATTCATAGCCTTTATTTATCACATGATGTCATTAGACACCGTTTTATTTAGTTGCTTGGTGGCTGTCTTTCTCACTAGATGATAAGCTCCTGAGAGCAAGGACTGTGTGTTTTCTTCATGACACTCACGGTGTGGCGCCTGGGAGCTCGGTAGCACCTCCTCAGTAAAGATCTGTTGAGAGAATGAATGTCAGAATGAGTCAATGGAGTCTGCCAGAGTTCACGCCTTGGCTTCATTGCCAGGTTTGCGATCTTAGGCCGGTTACTTAACCTGTCTAACCCTCAGCTACTTGATCCTCAAAACGAGTCTAATAATACCTCTCTCTCAGGATCGGCATTAGAATTAAATGACATAATAGACTAAAAGTGTCTGTTACAGGCCTGGTGGTTAGAAAGGTAAGGGTTATTGACTGTTTTTATTGCTGTGGTAGTTCTTGCGGGTCCTGTACCTTGTTATGAAAATTTGGATGTTTTCAGTTACTATTTAACTTTGATGTCCCTGTTACTGTCCGGAAAACGTAAACATCACACACGGCCTTATATGCATCATCTTGCTTCTGCTCATACCTTCCATGACGGCAAAGCCATCACCTCTCCTCTGAAAATTTTAGGCACACCTGTTGGCATGTGAACCTCCTCTCTGAATCCTCCTTGCTCTCCTGCAGCCTTTCCTGAGATCTTTCTTTCTCCCTTTCTCCTGTCTTCCACCCCACCCTTCTCCCCCTTCCCTCCCCCTTCCCTCACTCACCTTTTTTCTCTTTTCTTTCTTCCTTCTTTCATGCCTTGCATAAGCGAGTCTTTTTCATGTTCTTTTCTCCTGCACAGCTGGAGCAGTACCTGGAAAGAGGATGTTGCACGTCTCTCTCTCTCTCTCATCTCTCTAAGTATTGTGTCTCTCTAAAAAAGTACCTGAGGCTGCCTTAGCAAACGCTTCTAAGCCCCTCTTTGAAATCCTATACTAGAGAGAAAACTCTTTTTTTGTAAAATCCTCCAAAATGCTCAGACATAATTCTCAGAAACTTTTTTAAAAACTGGATTCTTTCTCACTACTCCTTAAAAAATGAGGTAGATTTTATTCCTCTTTAAACACTTCAGGGTATAAACCATTGCCGTCTAGTTGATTTGGACTCATAGCAACTCTGTGGGACAGAGTAGAGCTGCCCATTAGTGTTTCCAAGGCTGTATTCTTTAAGGAAGCAGATTGCCACATCGTTCTTACATGCGGCGGCTGGTGGGTTCAAACTGCCAAGTACTTAACCACTGCGCCACCAGGGTTCCCAAAAACGTAGCGTATAACAAATAATTTTTCACCCCTGGACACCCTTTTAACTCAGTATTGAAGTCACTCCTGAGGTTCACCCTTCAGCCAAAGATTAGACAGGCCCATAATACAAAAGGAGGGTAAACGGGCACATCAGCCCAGGGGCAAAGACGAGAAGGCAGGAGGGGACCGGAAAGCTGGTAATGGGGAACCCAAGGTCGAGAAGGGGAGAGTGTTGACATGTCGTGGGCTTGGCAACCAATATCACAAAACAATATATATATTAATTGTTTAATGAGAAACTAATTTGCTCTGTAAACCTTCATCTAAAGTACAATAAAAAAATAATTTTTAAGTTATTGATAAGTTAGAATGTAGATAATCTTAAGAATTTTCTCTTTAAAAAAGCCAACAATAAATAAGACACCCCCTAAATATTGTATAGTATCCAATACGCATATTGGCACTCTTCAGAATTTACGAGCGAACACACCACACATCCGTATCACACACACCCACGCATGCCTCATGGAGAATGTGCGGCAGAGCCCATCAGCGGCTGGCTGAGTTATTACTTGTTCTTTTGACTCTGTTAGTCCTATAAATGAGCCGTCTGCAAAGTTTAGAAGCCAAGCTTTGGGCTGTTTGTCCCGCTGTGATATCTGACCCTGTGGTTAACTTGTTCATTCTTGTGGCTGTTCCGTAGAGGCTTCTCAGATGAATCTTGTCTTCCCTAGAAGCAGGACAGAACGGCCCAGCTGCCAGCATGACTCATACTTATGTATGTTGTCGCTTTGAATTACACTCCCTGAGTAATTTACTGGCTGTTGATTGCTTGTTAGAGGGTGAGTAACAGTATTTTGAATGAGCTGGCTGCTTCCTTCTTTTTTTAGAGACTTGAGCCAAGAATGACCACACCTGCCTTCACACTTATTTTCTATAAAAAACGTGTAGGATTTTCTTTATAGCTCAACAGATATTAATTGATTACCTTCAGTGTACAAGGCATTGTGCTAGGTACTCTAGGGGATGCAACAGTGGGAAAATACCATCCCTGCTTTCAAGGAGCTTACCGTCTACTCAGGGGAGAAAGGAGGG